CCTTTTTGCTTTGAGGCCTGTCACTGTCTTTGAGGGGGTTATAATTCACTGCCGTGAAATTTTGCCATTTGTGTGGTTCAGTGGCATTCAGTGCTCAGAGTCGTGTGGCCCTCAGCACTGCCTGAGTCCAGAGCGCTCCCATTACCCCAGAAAGAAGCCCCGTGCCCTTCTAGCAGCTGCGTCTCCTTCTCCTCCCTGCACCCTGTCACCTCTAATCCACTTTCTGTCTCTGCGGATTTGTGTATTCTGGACATTTCATGTAAATGCGATCATACGGTATGTGGCTAAGGCCTTATTTTTAGTTTGGAGAAGTGTTCAGTCCTTATTTCTTAAATATTTCCCCATACACATATTCTCCCCTTCCTCTGGGCTTCCTACGATGCCTGTGTCACCAGTTCTGGGCTTTCATTTCCCCTTTGCCTTGTCTGTGTCCCTCCCTCTGTCCTAGTCAGGCCCCTTGCTGGGTCTCTGCAGGTTTTTTGCTGTGGCTGGCACTTGCTACCCTGAAAGGTGTGTGTGGCCCTTGCTGTTCCTCCGGGGAGCCTGGCCCACCTGGTGGGGCTTGCTCCTCAGGGGTCTCACAGATGCCCTAGAGGAAGGTTCCAAGCACCAGTCTGGTGGCCCCCTTGCCCCCCAGGCATCTGCACATCCATCCTGCAGCCTTCCGAGGACTGTCCTCCGTCTACTGTGGTCATCCTTGGGCCTGGGGAGGGGGATCGCAGGGCAGCCTGTGCCTGCCCTTCCCCACTGCCCCACCCACCCCGACGCTGAGGCTGGGTGGCTGCACCCCGGCCCCAGGGTGGTCTTGCTGGCCCCTCCTCAGGCTCTCGGGAGCCAGGCTCCCACTCTTCTCACCACCAGGCCAAGTACCTCTGTCTCACTTCTCTTTGTCTCTAGGGCCTGTGTTCAGGAAAGGCGTGGGGTTCTAGTTAGGGCCTTCTCCATGTCTGCCCCCCACAGTGGGGCTCAAACGCTGTGCCCACCCCCTGCACTGCTGGGCCTGGCCCTCTTGAGGAGGAGGAATCCAGTGCTCTCAGGGGTTCTGACTGAGACCCCAGCCCTGGCTGCCTTGCCCCACCCCCCACCTCCTCCCACAGGCAGCAGATTTTGAGGGGCAAGCATGAGGCTCCCTGGAAGAGTATGTGGTGTGGTCAGAGCTCCCCACAGGCCCAAGGGCAAACCCCTCCCTACAGCATCTACCCATGACCCCTGCATTTTGGATTCTTCTCACAGAGAGCCACTTAGCAGACATTGGATCAAAAGCTGCAAATTACATTAACAACACCTTGAGTGGTGTTTTAATTATGAATAATCCAGTAATTGTAGATGACTAAAGCTGGTTGATGGGGTCTGCTGGTTGCAACTGTGTCTGCAGCAGCCTCCATGAGGAGCAGATCCCAACGAGCCCCTGGACATTTCCTGGGCGTTTGCATCCCCCAGAATGGCCACTGGGCACCAGGAACCAGGCAAGGACCAGAAAGGCCTGGCGCAGGCACAGACGAGAGGTTTTGTGGGCCTCTGGCTGAGCAAAAAGTGCCCACAGAGCCTTGGTGCTGGGTGACTCGTGCCAGGCTGGTGGGAGTGGCCAGTTCTCAAGGTGTGTGTTGAGAATTGTGAAGTCCCTGCCCTGGTGCCCAACAGTGTGGTGTCCCTGCTGCACTGCTTCCTGGGGCCACACTGGGCAGCTGCCATAGGGTGTGGATGAGGCCACTCCCAGTGTCCTGCATTAAGCTTTCGAGGTGTGGGGGTCACTGCAACCCCTCCCCTAGCTCTTCCAGTCCCTCACCCACCCTCTGCCCTCAGCTGGCGCACCAGAACCCACTTTTGTAGATGAGCGTCACTGGCCATGGTTTGCATGTGGCCATTGAGGGGCTCAGGGAGGGTGGTGCCCATTAGGACAACAATGCTGTCTCATTACAGGCGTCTGGAGGAGGTTCAGTTTGGCTAAGGATGCTGCCTGAGCCGTTTAGTTAGAGGTGCTTGTTTTGTTGGGGGTGCTTATTTCCTTCCTGACCCCCATGCTCATCCCAGTGTCTTGCTGGGGTCTGGGAGACCCTGATGCCCACAGAGCACTCCCCCCACACCCCGCAAGGCTAGGGCCACCTGCAGGGTCC